ACCCTGACCTCGGTCAGAGGTGCTTTGCATTAATACACCGGGTCGTGAGCCACAGTAACAAAGAATTCCTTGCAGCATTCCCTGCTAGACTGGCAGTAACCTGCAGCAGGAGGGCAGCTGGACACCAAGGAGCCACAGTCTGGAGATCCCGAGGCAGGGCCTTTGGACTGAGCTCTGCCCTGTGTCAGGCTGCAAAAATCAGGTGGCAGGAGCAGGGGGTTGCTGTCGGGTGTGAACCATTGCTTTCTAAAAGCTCGTTGCAGAAAACTAACCTCCTCCTAATTATGCAGTTTTGTCTTCAGTGTCTTTGCGAACAGGGTGTGCGGTACAAATTGGAAAGAGACAAACTGATAAATTTGGGCTCTTTGTGGTGTTTGGATTCATTGTTTTCTCTAATTACTGGCAGTAGAGCAGCTTCCACACGGTCAGGATGCTACTCTTCAAACTGCTGTGGGGAAAGACAGAGCAGTCAAGATTAGTGTATAAAGGGGTCGTGACTTCTTATTAACCTTTCCATTTCTTTTACCTGGGAAAAAAAAAAGATCCTTATTTCAACCTAAACAGTGATACTTATTTACAAAGCTAAGAGTTAAATCTGCCTTTCAAATTCCTTTCAATTTCCACAGAAGTCTTGCTGTGCATAAAATCCACACCTTTAAATCAGCGTGGGCACATTGACTCCATCTAAGCCAGGATCTGGCCCCTTCCATTTAGCTGGGCTGTGGGAGCCTGGAGCAGCTACATGTGTTAAGTGGTCTGGCAGCACAATGCTATTGAATGGACCCTGGTGTGTCAGTGAGCTGAAATGGCCTTAAAATGGTCACAGTAATTCTTTCTGTAATTTGATTCTTAACATGTTAAAGCCACAACTGGAAAGAAAGGGCAGAAAGTTATTTTATGTAGATAAAAATAATGGTTTTTGAAGCAAGCTGTCTTTTTCTTTATGGTCCGCGTTTATTCAAGGTAAGATTAATGAAATATTCAGCCAGTGTCACCCTGGACATGAACTCATCCTTCAGTAATTCATCCAACCTTTAATCAGACTTAAAAGAAAGTAATTGTCAAATTAGTTCATCCCCTAGAGATGTTATTTTGGATCAGTTTTTTATTCCCAAGCAGTCAGGCCACTGAGAAACTGCCGTTCCTCAAGGTTTAGCTTCTCATTTGAGAGCTGTGATGAAAAGGTAGAGACTAAAAGAGTTGTTTGGTCTGGCCTAAATATTTTCTTTAAAAAGCCCTGTGCACAAACACCTTCCGAGTGAAACTGGATTAATTTTTCGTTGTATCTGAAAGGTGGCACTGAGGTCTTCTTCCTGCAGACAGAAGTGGTGCATCTGCTCAGCTCCTGTTGATCACAGCTCACAGTTGGTGGTTAAATTTGGAGGGATCTCTGGAGATCTAGCGGAGATCTGGTCCAGCCTGGTGCCCCAAACAGGGCCAGCGTGGGCAGGGCCGTGTCCAGCCCAGCTTTGCACATCTCCAGTGGTGGAGACTCCGTAGCTTCCCTGGGCAATCTGCTCAGGGCTCACAGAGGGGAAAATAAATGGTCTTATATTGAAGGGGAATCTCTTGTATTTCAGTTTGTGCCAATTGTTTCTTGTGCTGTCACTGGCTACTTCTGGCTAAGTTGTTCCTCCCTCCCATCAGGAAATGGTGTAGAGGTAAAAAAAAAAAAAATAACAAAAAGCTGGAAACTGGGAAGGCAGAGACTAGAAAATAAGGCTTCTCATAGAGCCCAACAGGCTGACTGGGGGGTTAGAAGTTCTGAAAAGTTTCACTGCACAAGGCAGGGTTTTTCAAACAAGTGAGACTGAAAAAAAATCCCCCGTTCTGGATGCCGTAGGCAATAAGGAGCTCGATCCAAAGTCCTAGGCTGGTAAACAGAATCCCATTCGTCTTTGAGGAATCTTGTTCCTAATCTCCCCTCCTGCCTGAATCAGAGATGCAGCGTTAGCTCATTTCCTTCAAAGCAACATGCACTGAGTGGAATGTGAAATAGAAATTTTTCCCAAGCAAGTGTCTTGCCAACTAATCAAAGCTGTTTTCCTGAAGACACCATCTATAAAAAACCCTTAAATAGCATCTGACTTGTAATGCTGAATGTGTTTTCTTAAGTCTTGCATTACAACTGGAAGGGGTTTGCTTTCAGGGCTGTAGAAGAGGAGAATCTTTCAGACATGTAAGAGGTGGAGAATCTATGGGTTGTGAATTAAATAATTTTATTGGCATTGCAAGAAAAATATACAGGAATGTGCTGTTTACTTTTCATGGGTTTGTTGGTAGCTGAATGCAAGAAAGATGCTAGGGTGTAAAAAGTGCAGCTGTAATTTAGGGGGCCTGGATTGTTAGTTTGTCTAGTGTGGCTTACCTAAGATGCACCAAACACACATTTTCCTCTTCAAAATTGTTTCCTGCAGGAATAAAACAATGGTCCTTGAGGTACTTGGGCTCTTAAAAAGGACCAAGAGATCAAAAATCATTCTTGATCCTAGCAAGCTGCTTCTAGGAGCCTGGCAGCCAGCCCGAATGCTTCGTTTCTGGGCCATGGAGGCTGCTGTGTTAACGATGGTTAAACACCCAGGTGTGTTTGCAAGCATAAGTTAGTTTAAGTTGATAAAGAATAAATGTTTTGTAATCAATATAAAGCTCTAGTTTTCACCTCTTAATGTCTACCCATGACAGCTTCCCAATGCTGTCTGGAGACAGTACATACACGCTGATAAATCTTGATGATATCTGAAGCCTGGATTATGAATCTCTTCTTTTATCTTACATAATTGGTAATGATCATATCGATGCTCCCGAGGGGGCTCAGGAGGCGAGGGGTTTAGCAGCAGGGAAGGATTGCCATGTGAACTGACCAGCCTGGAGCTGGCAGACCGTAGCCTGGTGCTCAGATGGTGCAGGGCAGGCAGCTGCCCGAAGGGATGGAAATGCTGCCCTGTGGCAGCTCTAGCAGCTCCAAACAGGAGCAAAAATCCTGTTGCAGATCAACTGTGTTTGTATCAAGTAACAGATACTGGCAACATGCTGTCGTCTTCAGACATAAACCACATCTTTACCCATAAATGTATTAGGAGAACTTCCAGCCAAAGCATTGGCATCTTTCCTGAACGCTTACAGCAGCTGAGTGTGGGCTTGGAGCTCCTGCTGAGACCTGTAAGTTGGCGCCCTTCATCTGACCAGTAGCCTTGAAGAGGCTTCCTAGGCTAAGAAAAGATTCCTTTTAGCACTACATATTTATCTTTCTCTTTTCCCAATCTTTACTTGACATCTTGTCTTAAAACTTGGGCTAAATGCCTTTTTCCTTCTGTAAAAATCCATGTCCAAAAAGCCCATCTGTCTCTGTCATGCTAGAAAAGAAACGCTGATGAAATATCATGAAGCCAGATTTTGATTTTACTGACATTGGGGTAAATCTGTTAATTCATTCTTTTTTTTTTATTCTTTACCCAACAGTAACAGAATCCTATATTAATCTTTTTTCTTTTTTTTTTTTTCTTCTGTATCTACAGCAATTATGCACCTTTTTTTTTTTTTTTTTTTTTTTTTTTTTTTTTTTTTTTCTAAAAGCCAGGGTCCTGTTTAGACAGGAGGAGGAAAGGATTTTGGAGAAGTTCTTTGAGCATGGGAAAATTGATGTTCTAAGTTCTATGAAGTCATCAATTCCCCAGTGACTGTGCACAGCTCCACTGTAAATCTTCTCCGACTACAATGAGATCACTGAAATGAACTTCAATGGAATAATCAACTTAAAATAAAACTGTGTTAACTGTTAAAAATAAAGTTCCATTTCTGAACTGTAACTTGCACCATTTGAATAGAAAGGTAAAATGGTTGCTTTTATTAAATTACTCAGCTGTGGTGGTTGTAATGACACCTTAGATAATAGCAGAAAGATGTCTTTCCTGACATTATTTCTTGTACACATAATTACTACTTACTGATAACAGTGATTTTCCCATTTTTAATGGGAAAATGCTGCCCATGTCCTCTAAATTTTGAGCAATCTGCGTTTGGAATGATTTCAGTCACTGTTTAAACTTCGGCTGATAAAAGCTTTATTGTCAGAGTTCCAGTTCCTTTCTACAGTTATTTTTGTTAGCTAAAGGACAACCTATTATGCACGGGGGGCAGTGGCAAAAGGAATCCTTTGAAGGAGGATGTTTTGTAGAAATTAGATTTCCCAAACCTGATGATTGAGGCTTTGGTAGGGAGGAGGCTTAATTGTGTGCGTGTCATATGCATTCATTACAAAACAAAACACTGTTTGAAAATATCCATTGATTAAATAGATCTGCTTTAAATCCTATGGTTGGTTTAAGTCAGCAATGCTTTGGATTTCTAGTTGCATTGCCCTGAGCAAGTAATAAAGGTCTGGGAGGAGTATGGCTAGCAAACAGAACTTGTTAACGCCGCTGATGCCACTGTTAATCCCATGGTCCTTTCCAATGCTTTGTGACACTTGCATATGGTAACGTCAAAATAACCTTGTTAAAGAGCAAAGTTAACCTGACCTTCAAAGCACTTAGGCTCTTCTATTTAATGAGGTCTGATTCATCATTACATTTGTCATCGAGACCTCTGCAGATCAGTCTGAATGGCTTGCAGTGGTGTGTGTATAATTTTGAGAAGAAACCCAAGGCCACATCATTACTTGCTGTGTAAATAAGCAAAGCTTCCCTGATGGGATGGAAGCCTGCAGATGTACAGTAGCTGAGGATCTTGCCTTGTGGTCTAACTTCACTCAGCTACAAGAGAGCTGCTTAGAATTTCCCTTCTGATGTTAACAGAAAACATAGAGAAAACAGAGATTTTGTGGCTTTTATTTTCTGGATATAATATTTCAAGCAAGCATGGAAAAATTCTCTGCACTTTCCAAACAGCCTTCGAGTATGGGTGTGTTTGTCACTGACCACTCAATAGCACTGAACACAATGTCCAACATGACTACCTTTGTGCTTCGGGGAATTCAGACCATCTCATTTTATTAATTGCAGTTCTCTGTCATCAGCAGCAGACTGGATCGAAGAACTATAGGACAAAGAATGGCTTTTGCTACACAAGTCTACTGTATACTTATGGAAAACAGAGTGCTGGAACAGAAGACAACTGGAAAGGTAAGTTTACAAGTTCCTTTTTGTCTCAGGTTGTACAAGGCCCTGAGCAACCTGATCTAGTGGGTGGCATCTCAGCCCATGGCAGGGGGGTTGGAAGAGGATGATCTTTAGGATCCATTCCAACGTGAGCCACTCTGGGCTATGATTCTATGAAAGAAAATGTTTTCAGGTCATTCGGGCTTCTGCAAACTTCACACCTGAAATATTTAATGCCAAGTAACAGGTAAGTTTCTTTGTTCTTACACTGATTATCTTCCAGCTGATTCGCTTTAATTTACTAATTAGTGAAGACAATAGGCTCTGAATTAACACTTCTGCCATTGGTTATTTTAAGTATTTTACTTGGGGAAAAATAATCAGCTGGTTTGGCTGTAGAAGGCTGCAATGGGAAAAATAATGCATTAGGAAAAGAAAACACTCTGGGACTGTATGGAATGCAAAACCATTCTATGACGTGCAGAAAAAAATATTCTCGGTTCATTCATTCCACTTTTCTCAGCATTACTGCCTATAAAGGTCTTGAATCTCTTCAGAATTATATCAGTACCTCAAGTTGCATCAACTTTTGTCTCCAAAAGAATTTAGCACTACTGAAAAGAGGCTCTTGGTGTAGAAGCAATGAAATAACAACATTTGTTGATGTATTTTTGAATTCCGCTTCATTTATCAATAGCTTTAGTGATGCTAATAGCAATAGAAGAGTTGAAAAAGGGGCTTCTTTTTAAAGGCAAATAGTTTTTTTCCAGTCTGTTACAGCCATGTTTCCTTTAAGGCATTCTTTCTCAGTGACTGCAATGAGACAGATTTGTATTTATCACTAATGTTCTGACCTCAAGCAAAGATTGAAAATCAGAACTGAGCTTGTTAGCCAGGTATGTTTTTGAACATACACTCTAAAAATTCTGGTTCTATCTAACGTACTGCAATTATTGCTGTAAGTTTTCACTGGCTGCATGAACACAGTCACCTTGACTTAATGTCTGTATATCTTAATTTGCCGTAATAATGATTTCAAACATTAATTGCATTTCTTAATTGGCTTATTAACATCCTTTTGTTTGTGTATTTTGTGGGAAGGTGCCTAGAAGTGTACTACCTTTTTTTCAATGCTGTTCACTATTGTGTTTGGGTTTTATATGCCTACTGTTCATTTATTTAAAACAAACAGCCAGTGTTCTTTATCTTTCTAACATCAGCAGCTGTAGCTTAGTACAGTCTTCTGACACCCTTCCAGCCAGGTGAGTGCTATTATGCAACCAACCCGATGAAGACAATTAATTCCAACATACAGCAAATACTGATGATTCCATTGCTGAATGCTGCATGATTTTAATACAAATGGCTTTGCTAGTAGCCAGCCAGTGTGCTTAATGGGCTTAAACAAAATATTAACAAATGACTCATGCTTTGTGTGGGCCAAAATGTCACTACCATTCTGAGATAGTGATGCTTGACCTACTTACATCTTTATCTGCAACGTGCCTTGTCCATTTCTCTTCCTGTACTACTTCATTTGTAGCCTTGCTTGCTCCGTCAAGCCTCTAACATACGCTGCAGTCACTTGCTGTCAGAAGCATTCACCCTTTCTTCCATCACTGCTCAGGAAGCCCATATCAATAAGATACTGTTGTTACATAGCTGTCATTTCTGCCCTCCAACAAATCTTGTCGCTGCAGAGCGTCTGGAGGTTGCAGACGCCTAATAATGTTCTTCCCTGTTCTGTCAATTGATTTCAAGGCTGCATACCCTTGTCAGACTGAATGCATAGTGCAAGGTGCAGGGAGCCAGCCCGTGCAGAGGTTTTCTAGAGATCCTGGCAGTTCCACATAACACTCATTTCTCAGCTGTTGTTCGTCTTCCCCAGTCCGTTGCCCTGGTATTTATTTCTTAAAGGTTTGTCATCCCCTCGGTTTATGGGCAGGCTGAAAGCAGTTGAAGTCCTCTGTCCATTCTCCACTGAACCATTGCTATGTTTGGAGAGTCAAGCCCACGTGAAGCTGTCTGCAGAGCACCCTCCATGCAGAGGTCTTGGTACAGGATGAGATGGCTGAATCTGATGGCTGCACAGATCTAACACAGAATTAACCTGCACAAAAGCTAAGTTAATAGCCAAAAAGCATTAGATGTACAACAAACTCCTCCAGAAGTGGGGAGAGATTTGCAGTTTCCTAAATCTACCTCTAGGGGTTGGAAACTTTTGTGGTGTTAGAAGATTCACTTGTGGTTATAGTATGACAGGTGTTTTTCATTTTAGAATGGAAAAAAGTCTTGCAGATTATCCTATGGAAAGGAAAATCCCACCCTACCCAACCCAATTAAAGTTCTACTTAAATTTGCATGGATTTGGGGAATAAAAACATCTAATTTGTGATAGGAACCGATTCAGTGTCTACACTGCAATGCGATGTCAGACTGCAGCTTAGTAGAACTAGCCCAACAACTATTAAATTCTTAGCTCTAGTAAATGAGGTGCTTAAGTTGTACAAACGAGGTTGTGCAACATAAATGTAATTACATATTTAGCAATATCACATTTCTACCTGGTGTGCTCTTGTGAGACTGCTACTGGTTCCCTGAGCTGCAAAGTTCTCCGACCAAAGGTGAAGTCCATGCAAAATGACTGCAGTAGGAGGTGGTGGTGTGGGACCTGGTAGAAAGAAACAGAACAGGCCTCGGGGTCCATATATCTGATTTTGATATATGTACACATGCACGCTTACCTTTTGAGAGCCTCTGTTTGATGTTACTAATACTGTCCTATCTCTCGGACTCTTCTGAACTTGTCCAATGCACTCAATAAGAAGGCATATTAATCTTGGGGGTGGAAATGAGAGGCAGAGCTGATAAATCAAGATATAAGTGTAAATGCATTTCTAATGAACACACATTGTGTAAAATAATGGCAGTATCACTGTCTGGGGGATAATTAAAAAGACAAAAGAGGAGAAAAAAGGGAGGAAGATCTCTTTACTGGATTGTTAATTATATGTAGCCTCATTGAAAGTAATGCACCATTACTCTGGGAAAGTGCAAGAATCGCCACCTTTTGCCCACACCTACTTTCTTTTGTCTCAATCCTTCTGTCCGAGCTCTTACAAAGTGGCAATAGTTGAACACTTAGATGAACTTTCTAAAGCTTCTGGGAGCCATTTTCTGTTCCGAACTTGGCCTGTTCTACCTTCTTTTTGATGCTTCTTTACCAAACTGCAGGAAGGCCTCATTTGGAATGCTTCATGTGGAAGAAAAAGCAGTGTTTAATGGGGAGAAAGGCAGTGAAACAGATCCAAAGTGGAGGAGTCAAAAGGGAGGGGTAAGGATTGACTGCAGGTTAATGGTTTAGGCGTGCATCTTGGATAGCAGAATGGTTTTATTCCTACCCATATCACACGGTACTGGTTTGAGCAGGAGCAGCAGCATGGAAGCCTTAAGATTCAGTGCTTCTGAGCTCTTTAGTCATGACAGCAATTAGAAACTGAGGCAAGGTAATTTGGCAAATCTGAAAGAAGAAAATTAAGACCTGTGTATCAGACAGGGAAATAGGAAGGTCTAAGATCTTGATTAAAAAGCAGGAAAGACAAAGCATCTATATTTCCCTGAATTAAGGGAAATCTTGGGCAGGCTGACATGATTCCAAATTGAATTTATCATTTGTGTCCTAATGACATGAATATTCCAGTGACAATTTCAAGGTATTGGGCAACTCATTTGAGAGAATTTTCATTCATCATATTGACAGTGATGTTAATCAAATTGACTATCCTTAACAAAAAGCCCTGCTTCATTTGAAGTATATTGCTTTTCTGCCTGAGGGGAACACTTACGCAATTAACAAAACCAGATCGAATGCTAATAAAGAAAACAAATGAAGATTTATGCATAATCTACAAAAGGACTGCAATCATTTAATTAAGAGTATATATAGCAGTCTTTGAAAGAGAGTAAGTATTAGTAGTGATAAATGAAAAAAGTCCTTTGTGTGTTTGAACAGCAGTCAGGGAAGCAGATGGTTTCTTCTGCAACTTCACTTTTAGTACTGCAGGACCTTCCACTGCTGGTGAGATTTTATTGCTTTCGATAAATCCCAAACTTGACGCTTCTGCTTTGTAGAGGGTACTGCTTAGGGATGGAGTTAATTTATATCATCTTCTGGGAGAGGTGGTTGTCTAGCAGGTGCAAGTGCACAGAAATTCTGAGATTTTGTAGAAATATTATTTCTGAGCTTTTTAAATGAATGGTCACATTATATATTTGAATCCATTAAGTTCGTTTGCACTGAGCACACAACAGGTACACTACCCCTGCACACAAAAAGGGACAGATGAGTAGTAGCTGGCAGTGTAAGGAGAGTTTATTCTAACATGCCCTAGATGTCAGAGATGCCAGTCTTTAAATACCGTGTAAAATGGAAATGGCTAGTCTAATAATAGTAAAACTAAGAAATTTAGAGTCTGTTGTGCTGGGCTTTTATAATTAGTTTGGGATTCAGTGGGTAGTAATAGATGAAGCGGGTTAAATTCATCCCTGCTCTAAGCATGGGCAACTCCACTGAAGTCAATAATTATGTTTTCACTTACAACCATTATTGAATTTGGCCTGGAATCTGAAAGGGAGCGAACGATGCGGACAGGATGGATTCAGCCTTAGCAGCAGCTGACGGGGAAGGTGGCTGGCAAGTCGGGAAGCTGTCGTGAATTCGGCTGATAGGGCCTGAGCCAAAGGCAATCGAAGTCACTAAAAATGAGGCAGCGTTGGTGCTTTGTGGGGGAAGATGTCAGGCTTGATCTTACACGTTCTGTTACTAATGTCAAATTTAAAGAGCATGCAGGTGTTGTGCAGACCTGGCTGTATATTCAGAGGTTTATGACTTGGTACAGGGATCAGATTTTCAAGACAGCTCAGACCATGCTGCTGGCCAAACTTGGAAGTGTTCCCGGCATGGAACTGTGTACTTCTGTGCACAACTAGCGTGGTGTCTTTGAAACTGGATGCCCATAGCTGCAGGGTTGCTGGAAGCCACAATCTGAATCTGATTTTCAACAATCATACACCTTCAGTTTTTACAGAAGTTTTTTTACATCAAAATACTCACCAGCTCTGTGGAGCTTATTAGGAAAAAACTTTTTTTTGGAGGAGGGACAACTTGCAAAATCCTCTGAGCAGCTTTGGCTTTGGTCTTTGGTTTCTTTGTCACAGGATAGGGTAAATGGCAGTGGCTGACACTATTCTAGATTTGTCTCCCTGGGTAGTTGAAGGTGTAAGAGAACTGGTAAGAAAAAACACTTGGAGAAATGAGATTTAAAAATCCTGAATAAGTTGGCTGATACTCAGTGGTATTCACTGACCAGTGCCAAACTAAAAAAATAAAAATAAAAAATTCTTTCTCCCTGTTCCCTTCTGCCAAGCAAATAATTACGAAGTTATGCATTTTGTTAAATGATTTGTTGCACTGAGGATTGGCATCCCAGTTTTCAGCTTCGTGCCTGGTGTTGTGGCTTTCAGATTCCTGAAAATTCATGCCAGTGAGTTCAGAATCTTTTAAAATCTTCAGAATATTGGAGGAATTACCTTCCAGTCTGCCAATGTGCGTTGTGTCAGGTGTTGCAGAGACTACCTTCAGGATGAAAGAAATGTTTCCCTGTGGCGTGGTTTCTCTTCAGCACTTGTATTAAACTGCTAATGGTTAAAAAACGATAGAAGAACTTTAATTACTGTCATCTCAGAACAGGGTTTGTTGCCAGTTGTTTGACCTATAGTAACTACATGACTGTAGGAATCTGACTCCAGATTTGTATTTTATCCATATCAGTGTCCTGGTGAGTTGGAATGAGACTTCTCACAGCATCACTGTGGCCAATTTTTACATTAGGGCTTAACAACAATAAAAAACCCCTCAACAACAAAGCATCAAAATATGACACTTTTTCCCCTTCCGCCCTAAAATGTCAATTCCTTTGAGTTTTTGTAAAAATCTATGCTTTCACATAGCCCTGTGGGTATTTTTCTATGACCTTAGTGTTTCTCTTTCACTTACAGAGTACACGTGGAGTCTGTATTCCATGTTCCTCTGGTTACCCAAGGCTGGATTAAATCACACTGAGAGCAAGGCAGAGGCTGTGTGTGTGTGTGTAAAGCTGTGTGGCAATTGGCCCTGTAGTGATAGCAAATCATGTATTTATCTATTGAGATACAGATATATTAAAAACTGGAAGGAGGTTCTGCAACCTTTAAATCCTTTCATGTCACTTTATGTTCCTGCTGTTAAGCTTTTGCTATGTTAATGTCATCCTGGGCTGGTAATATTTACAGTACCTAAATCAATGTTGAGGACACACGGAATATTGCAGGATCAACTCTACTTATTTCAAATGCACTTTAATATTTTGACTGCCTGACCAGAGTTTGGGAAATAACTGTGGTAGAATGATAATGAGAAGTTTAACAGTTTTATGATGGTTGAAGCGGACTTTATGGAAGTTGATAAATTTCATCTTGTAGGTTTCAATTTCTCATTCCCTACAGAGAGATGGGGAGAATACATTGATACTGCATTTCAAATTGGCTAGATCAGAAGGAACAGCAGCTAAAATCCATTACAACCCAATTACATCTATCAGCTGAAGCTGTGTGCATTCATTCGTGAACATCAGCATTTAATCCATAAAGAGGAACTAATGAGAAATTTGAAAATGGAATCCATGCATCAGTAACTTTGGAGAGATTTTGCTGGGATTAATGAACTGCCAGAACATTGTCAACACACTGAAAACCTATTCTCTCTAGGTTTGTTTACTGACCAAAGAAAGATTTTTTTTTTCTGTTCTCCCTACTCTACAGCATGTTTTTGTCTTATTGGTAGTTCCTTTTTTTTTACATTCTTGGTGAAGAAAGTGACACTTTATTCACTTGAAGGATCAAATGCTTGTTTCTTTTCCATCCTGTGTGCATCTGGCTGGATGCTTGGCTAGCTTCTGCAGTCAGATATGCTGCAGATGAACCTCTACTGCATCACTACCTCTGCAAAAATGGTCTCTTGCATAGGTCTACAAAAGACAAAGGCACATGGGCTAGACCATATTTTGTAACACAGAAAGAAAACCAAGGTATCAGCGATGAAATTTTATGGAAAGTTGTTGAAGAGTTGCTGGTGTTCATTTGTAAGTTCACCTTTAAGATTCCTTTGTAAAATGCTCTGCTAGCTAATGGATTTTCTGATTCTCTAGAGCTACCAGTCGGTATCTTTCCAGAGTTGTGGATAAAAATGAGCCCACAGGAAAGCTGATCTCTCTAATGGGAATTAAAGCATGTAGTAATTGCAGAGATATGGCTAGGCTAGTGTGTATAAACAAGGCAGTAAACAATCACTCATCAAGATCGTACATTTAAATGACAGCAAGTGCAGATTATTTTGCTGAATGCTCCAAGGTGTAATATTGATACCCATCTCTATCAGTTAATGACCTAAAACTGTATTTGTATTTGGGGTGTAGCTAAAATGTGTATTAATTTCTGCAGGCATTTTACCTGGAGAAGCTTTAAGAACATGTAGGTATTTCACGACCAATCAGTGAAAATTCCTCTGAGCTTTTTTTGCCCATAGATGCTCTGCCTGTTCCAAAATAAATCTCCTTTATATTCTGAGCCTTATTTTTTCCTTGCTACCCAAGTGGTCTAGTAAGGTTTGATGGCTTAATATTTATTTCCTATTTATTTTGATAGATCTCTGTCATATTCACCAGCTGGATAAAGTTCCTATGCTTAACAGCAATATAGCAATATTCCCTCCCAGGAATCATTCCTTTCCACATTTAAGCAGCAGAGCTGATCTCCAAGTAGACAGATCTGACAGGTAGCTCCTCCGAGATCCCCTTTCCAATTGCACTCTTGATGCAGACATGACAGATTCGGGAAGAAAAGGATGGTGGGGAGAGGGCAGGAGAATGGAAAGCAGGAGAGGGAAAAAGAGAAAGCACACCATATGATGTGCAGTATATTTCAGCATTAAGCAAGAAAGGATGGAGAGAGGTATGAAATAGAGAGCTGCAGAGCAAAGAACTAGGGTCAAAACCACCTAGGCCAAAAGGTGGTAGCAGCATCTAGCACATTAAGCAAAAAATATGGAGGAGAATGGAATGAGAGAGGAATCCTTAGTGACTTCTTGTGGGAGCTGGAGCAAATCACTGAAATGTGATGTGCTTTGGTCTCTGCCTGTGAAAGCAAAACTGTTCAGCAAATTGAACACCTCCCAAATGAGGCCAAAGGAACATCTCTACAAGTCAACCAAATGTGTTGCAAAAGACCCCCTGCTTTCTGTGGGGGTGCTGGGCAGAGGCATTAGTTGGGATGCTGTGGATGTGAGGTTGGGCACAGTGCTGTTTGGGTAGATGCAGAATGCTGCTGGCTGAAATGCTGTTTGAAGTACCTCTGCCGTGCTTTACCAAATGTAGATGTGCCCAAAAAGATATTAGCACATTGACAAGAGGTGAAAATGTTTATGCAATAGGAAAGGCAGTTGCTGTTCCCTCTTCAGCCACTTTGTGACTTTGAGCAAGTTGTTCCACACCCCAATATAGTAATTTGCCACCTGTTGTTCTGCACCGATAATATTTGCCCGCTAAATGTAACAGATTTCTTTTCTAGAATGAACAGATACTTGAACTGTTAAGAAACCTGCTCACAAATGTTGCATTTAAAGAGCAATTTAAGATGAGTAAATTGGGCTCACTTGCTAGATCACAACCACAAAAAAACCTTCACAATGATATGTTGGGACAAAAGCCACAAGGAGCAAGGAATTGAGACCATAAGTGTGAATAAGGGTAATGTTTTCACAGCTGTTTTAAACAATTGCATCAGACCATTTCCTTAAATCTCCTGGGGTTTTAAGCACAGAGGTTTCTTCTTTTCATTCATTTCTTTTTAAATGTTGAGCTAAATAAAAACTAGAAGTTCACAAACAACTGTTGTGTTCTGTTCAACATATGTGGCCACCGACTACCGCAGAGGAGTTATTCTCAGTTGGGCAACAGCATTTGCAAGCAATGCAGTCCTTTATTATTGCTTCCCTCGCACCTCACATTAGGGTGCAAATGACATGCCAGATATCCCAGTGCTTTGACAAGTAAGAGCAAAAATGGAAGTGTGTAATGAAAAAGATAATGGTTAAGAAGTAAAGCTAGATCTGGAAACATCTTGCAATGTTCACTGCATCAGTGGGATGTCTCAGCCGTTCTGTGGTGTTCTGTGTCTGATGGCTCAGATTTTGAGATTTTTCCCTGCATAGATGCAGAAGGAATAGAACACTTAATTTGGCTGTGACTTGAAGAGACAATCTTAGAAGGAAAATGTCTTAATTTGGTAGTTCCACCATAGTTCTGTAATATTAGCCCAATGAGACTAACTGAACTTGATGGGAGGATGAAATAACCAGTTTTGGCCTCCTATTTGTCTTTTTTTTTTTTTTTTTAATTTGTTTGGCTAAGAGTAAGAGTGAAAGGTTTGCTGCTACTTAAGAAAAAAAGTAGCTGAGAAATAGAAACCTCACAGAGCTGACATCCACTTCTGTACTTGGCTTCTCTTAAAATAGCCCACGCTTGGGGTATATTTGTATTACATCCCTGGCACCGACTCCTCACTAGGGCTCTCCCGGCAAACCGTGTTCCCCTGCTTCTGAACAGTAAACAACAGAACTATTTTGACAAGTACACCAACCATATCTTGATCAGCTTCTCTTGCTAATAAGCATATCAAAGACGGTATAAACATTTTTGACCTGTACATCACCTGTAGAGGAGATTTTAGAGACCTGGGATCTGGAAGACTCCAGGCTCGCAGATGTTTACCATGTCTTGCATGACTTGTAGCAGCTCAGAAATGGGACAGGGGAGGTGGAGTTGAATGTCCTTTCCGGAAGTGACTCCTTAATTCCTTTTCAGTGTGAACATCCTAGTATGCCTGAGTACAGATCACCACCCTGTGCTGTAAATCATCATTTATTGTGCCTCAGCAGAAATAGGCTGCCTTTGTGGGGGGCCTCCTGTGATGTTCCTTGTGTTTAGGAGGACGGCATTCTTTATCCTTCTTTATTGATTGTAGCCAACTTTGCAAAATAAAAAGGACGGAATCTTGTAGTAAAAATCAATCTGCTTGGTGGAACACCCACTTGTTTCAGGTTTCTGAATGTATGCTGGTTTGTCTCAAATTCATGGTTGTCATCAGAAAAAACCCCTCCATAAATCATATTCCAAGAATGGATCTTAACTACCTACTGTTTTCTTTTCAAATACCTGTTGTTAATCATCCTGACATTCAGGGGTTGAAGCTTTGAATGCCACATGTTGCAAGCAGCTGAAAGCTTCGTGTAAAAGGGAAATACGTATCTGACATAAAATACCGTACACTAAGTATATGGACAGGCTAATCTCTTGATCAAGTGTAAAATATGCACACTTTATCCATGCAGCTAGCTCAAAGAGCAGTATGTAAATACACACCCATGAGTGACAGGTAGATAAACAGTGATACACTGAAAGCTTTGCATGAATGCCCACACTTGCAATGCTTAAAGTGTTTTCTGACATCACTTGAAATGTGTGCTGAAGGGGTGATGCAAGGGTAGCTTATATCCAAAGGTCCAAGCTCAAACCAAGCGTTTGGCTGAGATTTGCCTTCAGAAACCCGTCAGAAGGGCAGCCCGGCCGAACCTGGCTCCCCGTGGGACACAGTCCTGCTCTCGCTGAGCTTTCACAAGGAGAAGGCACAGATGGCTCAGGCTTCATACGGAGAGTGAACCCCAGGTGCATATTTCGCTTGCTAACGTTGTCAGTGTGAAGTTTAAGTTTGACAGGGATCCAATTACAGGTGAAACCGAGGTTTCTGGTGTCTGCTGGAGTCGTCAGTCCCTTTTGCAGGGCTCCTCTCTCAGCCTGCCACTTAGCTGGCTCCGTGTAAGCCTTCGGCCCTGCTCCTTCCTCTCCTGGAAATTCACTGACAGGAGACACGTTGGAAAGCAACCCTTGTCTCTCTGAGGCTGATCACTTCCAAGCAAATATTTGCTTTCTAAGTTGAGGTAAAGGTGAAGGGATAGATTTTGACAGTTTCTAAGATAAATTCCCTCTTCAACTATCCAAACACTGGGGGTTTATTTGTACCTCTGAAAATCAGTTACTAAAAATAAATTGAGTTATGAAGTCTGTAACTTAGGACCTAAGTGATACTTAGAAGCTTATTTGTTTGACTTGATTGAATGGCATAGCTCTAGCCAGGACTTCTTTGGCAGCATACTTTTTCCCTGGAAAATGCAGTGTGTATAGAGACAAATACTTTTCAGGAAAACGTAGCGATTTTGTCAGACTGGATCCCGGGATCAAGATAGAATTTCTGTCTGAAGAAGCAACAGCATCGCAGGGTAACAAATAACCCGGCAATTATGATAAATGTCTGAGAGGTTAAAAGCCTTTGTTCAGGCTGACCCTGTGCTGCAGGAGAAAGATCTTGTTCGGGCTCTTTCCAACAGCAGACGTCGGCCTCTGCTCTGAGGCAGCAGTTTAAGAGCTCTGGTTGCTGTGGAGCAGAAGCCTCATCTGTGGGACTTCAGTCTCATTTTTCTTGACCTATTGTATATTTGATAAAGCTGAACAGGATTTCAGCTGCCACCTCTTAACCTAAGCAAGGGAAATCCAGTGGTGGTTCCCTGCAGCACAGGGGTGGATGTGCACGGCTCCATGCAATCGCCAGGTCTGTCAGCACCAGCTTGAGGGCCCGTACAGATCGTCAGGTAGGAATGGTGATGGAAGTCCTAATGGGACTCGAAGGGGAGCCAAAATGAGATTCACGGAAGGTTTTGACACCCCAGCTCTGTTGTGGTTGATGGCAGTGATCCATCTCCCCCAGACACCTGCCCTGACAGGCTGCCAGCTTTGGGCTCCTTTGACAAACCAAGCCAAGCCCTGGTCTGTTCCAGGTGCGTGCTGGATAACTCTGTTCTCTCACCCCCTACTAAAGGACAGTTTAGCCATAATTTTTGTCTACTTGATGCTCTTAGATTCTGTAGATTGTTTTTGTTTCTTGCCCTTTGTTGCAGAGCTCCCTGTACAAACTGCCACTGGCATCATATCCAAACATTTTCATTTCCCTACTATTATTTAACTATCTTCCTAATTAATTCTATGACCTGAAATAAATTATTGACTTAACAGACTCACTCGTGTTTTCTGTGACAGGTTCAGCAGTAAACAGGCCATTAACAATTCATAATGAGTAGCTCCTATATGTTTTTTTTGTGTGTGTGCTGATTTCGTTCTCTCTTGCTGACATCCTCGGTGTGCCTTGTACCTTGTCTGCAGGCTCGGGGAGCGGGAGATGCAGGGTGACTTGTGCATTATGCTTCCTACCAGGAAAAAGCCTTCAGATTTGGCAGAATGCATTTAGATTTTCTGGATGAATGAGTCACTTGGGAACAATGAGCGAGGATAATTTCTTCCTTCTGTGCTCCGTAATAGCACTGCGAGAAGGGCATATATTCAGTCCTTGGTCTTGAGGTCAGTTTCAAGAATGTTTCACACACTCACACAGCTACCAAGTCACA